CAAGGCAAGAACAAAAGTGATGCTGAAGATCTGAGTCTGTTATTATGATATGAAGTAGGGAGGTGCGGGATGGTGAGCCACCAGGAAGCCTGAGAATGATGAGTCTTCAGAACACCACAGCTGTACAGTGGGGTACAGAGAATTTATCACAGGCTCCGGGAGGAGAGGGACCTTAGAAATGATACCACCATGTCTGATTCTCTAGTCATTGATGAAAAGCAGCTTTCATTTCCTCAAAAAAACATCTCTTGAGGGGCTGGGGATTTAGCCCAGCGGCACAGCGCCTGCCCGGCAAGTGCAAGGTCGTGAGTTTGATCCCCGGTATTAGAAAAAATAAACAACAAAAAAAAATCTCTTGGTTTTCCTCTTTAACATATTATTAACAGATACCTACTTAAAATTTATAACAAATACTGCAAATACAGCCATGTTACTTCATGTATATTTACTTGTGGTGATCTCAAGAAATCTGCCCCAAATGGATCATGTTCACGTGGGGTAAGAGAATAATTACATCCCAGTCCTTGCTCAAGTCCCTTTACTGCTATAAGGGCTGCACAGCTGATGTCTGTAGTGGATGAAGGAGATAAGGTTTTCTTGGGCAGAAGCATAGGAGCCTCTGATTAGGAATTCTGCTTCCTCCAGCAGTAACTCTCTGCATTAATTAGTTCCTCAGGCAGTTCCCCCGGCAGTGAGATTTCTCATACTGGAGCCACCCTGGAAAGGACTTTGAATGGCACCCGCTTCTTAAAGCTGAGCAACCGTGAATGACAATGTTAGCTGGACAGCAGAAGATGGGTCCAGCTTGCCCCTTTGAAGGGGAAGTGGACAAGATGTGCACAGTGTTTTCCGGAGGACAGGGCAGAGGGGCTTCATTGGGGTTTCCAGAATTCTGTCATGATTACTAAATGAACAAGAGAAGTAATATTCAATATCTGCTGCTTGTCACTGATGTGAACCCAGTGTCAAGGCAGAAGGATCTAGAGGAGGGGACGTGTGTTGAAGCACGCTGCGGAGTCAGGATCGTACGTACTCAGGAAATATCTGTGTGCCCTGGCGTCTTCCTCTGGCTGAGTGTGTAATACACGTGTGCTTTCAAATGCTTCTTGTAGAAAGCATTTCTTCTTGCTGTCATCTCTACATCATCATTCTTTCCTCTTCTTAAATTTTGGGACAAAAATATGAAGCTTGCCTCAAACCCCAATAATATTAAATTAAAAGGATTAAGAATGGATAAAATAGACTATTATTATATATCAAAGGATTACAATGTTTCTAGGCATGTGTTTTCACTCTACCACCTGCAAGGGGACCTAATCTAATAATGGACTCTAACGTAATGTTGAGGATATCAAAGGAAATAAAGCCAGCTTTTTCTGACACAGTGAATTTCACTACAAAACACAGAATGCTTCTCAGAAATAAAGGCAATGAGGCTGTGGAAGGCTGCAGGGATGCCAGCTAGCCATCCTCCAGGTGGGCCACACAGAGCTATTGCCTAAAGTGACTCAAGAACGTGAGTCTTTTTCTAGATTAAGGAAATAGGGGCAAACAAGGACAACAAGAGAAAGTGTTTGAAGCTGGGAAATAGCTGAAAGTGTGGGAGGCAGCAAGCACCCTGACATTAGGAAAGGTCCCGCTGTGAAGGGGAGAGAAGTGGGCACAGCGAGTCACCACCAGGAGGTATGTGGCTGAGGGGCGAGTGAGAAGAGAGCCCTGTCTCAGGAGAATCCAAGCCACTGCTGGGCCACACTCCATTGCCATTCCCTCCATCGCTGCTCAAAGCAGGTGTCCTCCCTGGTCCCCTGTTTCCATTTCTCCATGTTTAAACATAACTTTTGTGTCTTTGGAAAGAGAAAGAAGGAAAAAGTGACAAGCCTGAGATATGCAAATGAATCTAAGTGATCACGTGCAAAAAAATTGCATGAATGACCAAAGGAATACACATTATAGGTGCGTCTCACCTGCTATCTACAACTCTCCTGCCCATTAGGCCATGCGGTCTACCCTGCACACCTGACCTCTGGCAAGTCCAAAGCAAAGCATGCTGGGACTAGAAACCACACAGCCTAGACTTGCTACTCATAACAGTGAAAAAGAAATCTCATGATTCTATGTGGGAATAAGATTTTGGATATAACTAACATTTATAATTAAAAATGATTGTCCTGGCTTCTTTGAACTTATTTCCAATATGTCTACTGGATAATCTTAAATTAATTCTGAAGCTCATACACTTCTCTATGACAGCCGCCTCTGTAGGACCAGAACAGACCTTTGTTTGCCAACATGATTATTTGATTTTGCTACCTCTGGAAGTAGTCATTTAAATTAAAATAAGATGTTCAGAGAAACCAACAAGGCCTCTTCCCTCAAGAGCAGTAAGTAAAAACAGTACTGTAAAGCACTGCTAGCTTTCTCTCTCTCCACGCCAAGCAAACAGTAGGCTATAGAACTGCACACCCACTCACAGAACATGAAAAAGAAGGTCGATCTGCAGTGCCTGGCACCAACGGGACTCTGTTAGACATCTCTCATGAAGGCTGCTTTTCAAAGCCACCACTCAGAATGTCACTGTCCTGCTTGCCCGTGTCAGTACAGGAAGCTGTCTCCATGGGGTGAGGCTGATGGGCTTCTCTACTGCAATGAGTGCATTTGGGATCCATCAGTAACTCCCACTCCGTCCACCCAAGACCACCATGACAAGGGGAGCCATGAAGGGAGAGGAACAATCAGTGTCCTTGCCCTCGCAGGGACATTGTACATGTGCATTAAAGGCAAACGTATTTCCCAACTGTTGCATCTATTATTTTGACATAAAGCCAAGCAAAGCTATAAGAATAGCACAATGGACCTACATAAATTCTATACTTCAATTCTCTTATTCACATGTTAGCACATTCACTTTATCATTTTCTCTGCATGCATGTGTACATATCATGAATGTATACATGCAATCCTCCAGACCCACTAAGCCATAAGGACTAAGAAACAAATACATACAGTCAACATATGCTTGAGAACACACATGTATCTACACAGCCCACTGTTTAATGCATAGTATGCCAGCCAGTATATTACATTATGAGAATCAAAATGAGCATAAAGTATCTTTCTTGTCTATTGAGAGGTCTGTAATTTTATAAGATTATTTAAAATAATCCTTGATCTGGTATTTTGATTAGATTACTGATCATCATTTTGGATAGTCAAATAAGAATTATACATATAAAAATAATAAAATAATTGTACATATTTGTGGTACACAACATGACATTGTATGTACATCTTGTGCAATGGCTAAGGCAAGCTAACTGTATTATTTATATATGTTTTTGTAGTGAGAATACTAAAAATCTATTTTTAAGAAGTTTTTACTATACAATATACTATTAATTACAGTCAGAGCACTATACAGTGCATCCCCACAACTTATTCTTCCTGTCTGGTTGAAATTTTGTACCCTTTGGACAACATCTGCCTATTTTTTCCTTAAGCCCCAAGCTCCTGGTAATCAGTACTTTACTCAGTGTCCACCACTTCATTTTATGTCTCCGCATATAAGTAGATCATGTGTTTCTGTGTCTGGCTTATTTCAGTGAACATAATGTTTTCCAATTGCTGATAATTCTAATTACTTAATAAGTTCATAATTGCTGCAACCACTCCATTCATTTAATGACTTGTGAAAAGTCAAGTCACTGTCGAGTGTGCTGAAGCTATTATTACCATTACTTTTTTAACTTAATTTTTTTATTTATCAGTATGCTTGTGATATATAATGTTCCCATCCTTTGTGGGAAGTTGGCACACATATATAACACATTAACCCCTTTCTTCATCCTTTTTCCCATCCCTCCTTACCCTCTCCATCCATCTCTTGATCCTCTTCCTTTTTTATTTTTAACATATTTGCAGCACATAATGCTTATGTTCCTTCTGCGGAGCTGGTACAATCATTTTTCCTTTTGAAAACACAAGCTGGACATGCTGCGTGAGAAACTGCTGCACTTTCTCTCTTTGGCATATCTCAGTTCATGTGTGTTATGAGAGCACGAGGTTGGTAGACATTTATGGCCATGAGCCAGTAAAGAAACCAGTTACTACTAAAAATCACAGAACTACAACACAAACCCAGGTGTCAGGATCTTCAAAGCTCTTGCTTGTTACCCAATGTGAAGGTCAGACTGTTTTAAGATTCTGATTAATAAAAGATAGATGTAACATTAGAACCTAGCTCTAGAGTTTCCTGAATACCAGCAAAAACCAGCATGACAGAGAGAATAAAATAATGTAATCTCTTCATCACTTCTTAGGGCCTAGGACAGGGGGCTGATAGTAGTAGTAGCTGAAGAATATTTTCCAAACCGTGCATAGCCCAGAGACTGTAACACAGTCCCAGAATCTCAGCAAGAAAGGATATTGTATTACCACCCTCTTTTCTAGGAGACTTTAATTATCACACCCTTCTAAAAGACAGAGGGAGAAAAGGGGCATTTAGAATTCAGACCTACAACAAAATAAATATTTCAACATAAGGATGTAAGGCTCATTCTCCAACCTGCAAAAGCAGAAGTAGATAAATGCCATTTTATCTTCCATTATTTATTCTTTCCTGTATATGACTTGTACCTCCATACTCAAGTTTATGTAATTAGGAACAAAAATAGGAAACAAAGGTGCTTCATAAGAGTGTGATGACTGAATGCAACAAACTGAACACTCTCAGTCCGGGCGGCTGCCGGACTTTGACGTAACATGCGTTGTCTGTCACCGGACGCAGAGTGCTTTAGGGCGATACCCAGGAAACCAAGAGCGGGTGTGGCAGAAGAAAAGGCCAGTTGGGAATTAAAGAAGGTGACGGTTCACATCACACAGCTCAGATGAGCATTTGCAGCCTGGCCCACGGAGGAAATGGCAGCCTGCTCAGTTTTCATTCCCTCAAACAGTGAGTTAATTTGGATAGGGAAAGCAGCTTGAGAAAAACAAATTGCACCTACCTGGATGAGAGACAGATCCTCAAGTTGCAATCTGAAGAGGTAGTTTCTACAAAATAAAAAAAAAGAGAGTAGGCTGATTTTTATTAAATTCTGAAAAATTACAGCTCGTAAACATTCTAAGCACAAGGGACAGAGCAGTGATTTTCACTTGGAAGCACCCTTCTGTTCAGAACATGGACAGCACAGTTCCCCTGATCCCTCAGAGGAGGAACAGGCGCGCGATACATCAACAACACATATCTGAGATGGAGGAGAGCGCTCACAAATCAGCAAGGTGTGTGAGTGACTGCGAAATGTAAGTCATTCTTGACTCTTTTAATCTATTTGGATTAGAAAAGGGACATGGTCTTTGGAACCTCAAACTGAGACTAACTAAGGTAAAGTAGCAAACAGCTATGCTTTATGAATTTTTACTCTGGCTCGACTCTGACGCTGTGTTTTACACTTAAGAGCTGGAATGCAGCCTGTGGTGTGAGTGCCCCACACTCTATCTTGCCCGATGAATTGGGTTTACAGATGTAAACCTGTCAGTTCGCCCAAGGAAGCTGACACCACTGAAAGTCCCAGTCAGTTCTGCAGTCCATGTGTGATACAGGAAATCAGATAAATAAAAAACTGTCCCTTTTTTTAACAAAGAATATGCAATTGAGATCAGTGGGATGTAGGCAAAGGAAAAACAAAATATGAGGTGTGTGAGGCTCTGGGCGACGCTTCTGTAGCTTTGGGAAATGGGCCATGAACCTCCAAAGTCATGATGCACTGGCCTCCAGATGAATCACGATTGCCTCCTTAGCGTCACATGGAGAAGGAATGAGACAAGAGGAAGAGAGGGGAAAGTGAGTCCAGGCGGAAAGAGGAGACACATAAAGGCATTTGATGGAAAGCAGCCCTTAAGATGCAAACAACGTGGGCTGGGATCTCCGAGTTACAAAGGGTTGGTCCAGGGTTACTTCTACGGGACTAAGGGGGCAAATTCCCAATACCACTTAGAAACATATGTAAGTTCCTTTTACATTCACTGTCTTGGAGGGGGCAGAAATAGAAGACATAAGAATTAGACATGCTGTCTCAGATCAAGTGACAAGCCAGGCAAGGCACACGCTCATGGCTGTGGACACAGATGCAGAGAATGTCTGGGAGCCTGCCCTGCTGGAGGTCAGTGGGGACTCGGGCTCCTCTCGGGAGTCCCAGGCAGCACCCCTGGAGACTAGCTTCCCACGCTGGCTCCCCACATGGGGTGACACTGTCCTACACTGACACTGAATGAAAATCACCTCCTCCAAACCACTTCAATATCCTTTTCACTAACCCCTTTCCAATTTTACTCCTGATACACTGCCAGAGAGGCTTCCGGCTTGCTTGGCACATAACTCCCACCACAGAGCTGTTTCCTGGAGACTTCCCCTGGGTACTGCAGATGAGTCGGGGCACGCTGTCAACCTAGGCTCAGGATGTCTCTGAGGCAGGAGAGGCTATGGTTATTTAGTTGGGCACCACGAAGAGACCAGGCTTCCAACAGAAATGTCATCTGAAAGGGAAAGGGTGCTCCTGGGGACGAGTGCGGCCCACCTGCCACTGAGACCACTGGTGGTTCCAGATTTGCTGTGGTGCAGACAGGAACACCCCTGCTGTAAGGGAGGTTGGAATCCATACACAGAGATAAGCCTTTCAGGCAAGGGGCTTATAAGAGGCCACTGCTGACCAACATGCCCTTCACGCCCTGGTGCACTATCTGTGCACACCTCAGCTCCCTGTCCTGGTGCCATTTCCCAGCCAGCTGCTGGCCACAGGACCCTGCCCCTCCACGAGGGGAGGCAGCACAGCCTGGTAGTTAAGAATATTCATCCAGTACCTAGAGCTCCACCACCACACAGCCTCAGGAAGGAAGCCATAATCATATCTACCCCCAGTATTGTGAGGTTTAAATTTGAAGAGAACTCTCAGAATGGTGTCTGGTCTGCTGTAAACACTCAATGTATGGAAACAACTTCTAGTTTGTTTATAAAAAAAATAGTGAAATTTCCAGACACACTGAAGCTCTCAGCATAGTCCTCACTGAAGAGAAAGGAAGTGTGGAGACAGCCTCCACTGATTGCGGGTTGCACACTGAAGCAGGAGACTTACTCCTGCTTGGGCGCCCGCGGGGGGGCGGGGGGCTTTGCAGGGATGGAAGTGGTGATATTGGGCTTTCAGAAAAGTGGACACAGCTGGTTGGGTTTTTTTTTTGTTGTTTGTTTGTTTGTTTGTTTGTTTTTATCAGCTCTGAGACCAAGGCAGCGCGCTATTTTCCAACTCACTGGCTATTGTCCTAAAGACTTCTTGTGCTAAATGTTTCCAGTAAAAGAAACCAT